GTGGGATCCTCCGGGGATCCTCAGGGGATCCTCACAGGATCCTCACAGGATGCTCAAGGGATGCTCCGGGGCTGAGATGGATGGGATCCTCACGGGATGCTCACGGGATGCTCACAGGATGCTCCAGGACTGAGGGGGATGGGATCCTTCGGGGACCTCTGGGATCCTCCGGGGATCCTCAGGGGATCCTCACGGGATGCTCAGGGGCTGAGATGGATGGGATCCTCACAGGATCCTCATGGGATCCTCACACCGGGGCCAAGGGATGCTCCAGGGCTGAGATGGATGGGATCCTCACAGGATCCTCACGGGATCCTCCGGGGATCCTCACAGGATGCGCACGGGATGCTCCGGGACTGAGGGGGATGGGATCCTTCGGGGACCTCTGGGGATCCTCTGGGATCCTCAGGGGTCCTCTGGGGACCCTCCGGGGCTGAGATGAATGGGATCCTCCAGGGATCCTCTGGGGTCCTCTGGGATCCTCAGGGGTCCTCAGGGGATCCTCAGAGGACCCTCTGGGGCTGAGATGGATGGGATCCTCATGGGATGCTCACAGGATGCTCCGGGGCTGAGATGGATGGGATCTGGGATCCTCATGGGATCCTCACGGGATCCTCACGGGGCTGAGAGGGATGGGATCCTCACAGGATCCTCACGGGATCCTCACGGGATGCTCTGGGGCTGAGATGGATGGGATCTTTCCCGGGATCCTCCCAAGACCCTCCGTGGATCTTCCTGGGACCCTCCCCAGCTCCTCTGCAGCTGAGCCAGCCGGGATCCTCCCGGGATCCTTTCCTGGACCCTCCGTGGATCTTCCCGGGACCCTCTGTGGCTGAGCCAGCTGGGATCCTCCTGGGACCCTCTCAGGATCCTTCCTGGACCCTCCATGGATCTTCCTGGGACCCTCCCGGGACCCTCTGCAGCTGAGCTGGTCGGGATCCTCCCGGGATCCTCCTGGGACCCTCCTGGGACCCTTCCTGAACCCTCTGTGGCTGAGCCAGCTGGGATCCTCCCGGGATCCTCCTGGGACCCTCCCAGATCCTTCCTGGACCCTCCATGGATCTTCCTGGGACCCTTCCTGAACCCTCTGTGGCTGAGCTGGCCGGGATCCTCCTGGGACCCTCCGTGGATCCTCCTGGGACCCTCCGTGGATCCTCCTGGGATCGTCCCTGGATCCTCCTGGGATCATCCCAGGACCCTCCATGGATCCTCCCGGGACCCTCCGTGGATCCTCCCGGGACCCTCCGTGGCTGAGCTGCCCGGGATCCTCCCAGGACCTTCCACGGATCCTCCCCGGGACCCTCCATGGATCCTCCCGGGATCGTCCCTGGATCCTCCTGGGATCGTCCCTGGATCCTCCCCAGCTCCTCTGCAGCTGAGCCAGCCGGGATCCTCCCGGGATCCTCCTGGGACCCTCCCGGGACCTTCCACGGATCCTCCCCGGGACCCTCCGTGGCTGAGCTGCCCGGGATCCTCCCAGGACCTTCCACGGATCCTCCCCGGGACCCTCCGTGGATCCTCCCGGGATCGTCCCCAGCTCCTCCGCGGCTGAGCCGGCCGGGATCCTTCCTGGACCCTCCCTGGACCTTCCACGGATCCTCCCCGGTTCCTCCCGGCTCCTCCCCGGTTTCTCCCCGGTTCCTCCCCGGCTCCTCCCTGGTTCCTCCCCGGTTCCTCCCGGTTCCTCCCCGGTTCCTCCCGGCTCCTCCCCGGTTCCTCCCCGGTTTCTCCCCTGTTTCTCCCGGTTCCTCCCCGGCTCCTCCCCGGTTTCTCCCGGGATTCTCCCGGCTCCTCCCCGGTTCTTCCCCACTTTCTCCCGGCTCCTTCCCCGCGGATCCTCCCGAGATCCTCCCCGCTTTCTCCCCGCTTTCTCCCGGTTTCTCCCGGCTCCTTTCCCGCTTTCTCCTGGGTCCTTTCCCGGTTTCTCCCGGCTCCTTTCCCGGTTTCTCCCGGCTCCTCCCCGGTTTCTCCCGGGTTTTCCCGGCTCTTTTCCCGGTTTTTCCCGGGTCCTGCCCTGCGGAACCTCCCGGGATCCTCCCGGCTCCTTTCCGTTTCTCCCCGGTTTCTCCCTGGTTTCTCCCGGCTCCTTTCCCGGTTTCTCCCGGTTTTTCCCGGCTCCTTTCCCGGTTTCTCCCCGGTTTTTCCCGGCTCCTTTCCCGGTTTCTCCCGGTTTTTCCCGGCTCCTTTCCCGGTTTCTCCCGGTTTTTCCCGGTTCCTCCTCTCGGGTTTTTTTCTGGAGGAAAACTCTCCTTGTTCATCTCAGCCCCGCCCGTTCCCAGCTCGGAATAAACTCGAGATTTGTGACTCGGAATTTCTCAATTTACTGAATTTATCCCCAAAAAAATTCCCCAAAACCGGGGCTGGGAGCGAGCGGAGGGGCGGGGGGGGGAATTTGGGGGGCGGGAATTTGGGATGCGGGATTTCGGGGCTGGAATTTGGGGGGGGGGAATTTGGGGGGCGGGAATTTGGATGTGGAATGTCGGGTGTGGAATTTCGGAGGTGGAAATTTGGGATGAGGAATTTCGGATCTGGAATTTCGGGTGTGGAATTTCGGAGGTGGAAATTTGGGATGAGGAATTTCGGATCTGGAATTTCGGGGGTGGAATTTCGGGGGTGGAAATTTGGGATGAGGTATTTCGGGTCTGGAATTTCGGATACGGGAATTCAGAGGTGGAATTTGGGATCTGGAATTTCGGATGCGGGAATTTCGGATCCGGGATTTCGGGTCTGGAATTTCGGAGGTGGAAATTTGGGATG